GTGTATGCTTAATTTCTAGTTGGTTCTTTATCATAGCATCGAGGGTCTCATTAGTTTTCGTGACTCTCTCCTCAAGTTTATTGACAGCTTCTAGCACATTTTTGCAAGCCCTCAAAATTGCGATTTTTAGCTCTATATCCTCCATTTCTGTCATGTTTTTTTGTCTCCGCATTTTTTATGCTTTCTTGGTGCACCCCCTAGTGGTCTTTGTGCGCAGTCTTGTTCTAGTTGAGCCTTGATTGTTGTAGTTAATACTAGAGGGATTTGACCACCAGGCCGACTGGCTGTGTGAATCAGCTGTGTCTGCCGCGGAAAACTTCTGTCCTCTGGGGAGGTGCTAATCTAGCCTTTGCCTGAGGCGATCTGGCAAATGGCTCTGCGCAGGGCTTGGGCGGGGCGGGCTCAACAGGGCGGGCGGAGGGAGCCGTTATGGTGCCCTCAGTCCTGTTCCCAGAGGCTCTGCTTCTCAGAACCCCCGGAACCGCTGCAAACCTCGGAGGGAAAGCTGCCTTCCAACTGATGCCAGACACTCCCGCTTCTCCCGTTTGGGTCCGAGTCCCCAGCGATTCGCCCGTATCTGGAGCTCAGAGTCTGAGACTCCCCCCTGACCGAAAACGACAACCGCGCTCTCAGCCACCAGCCCGCTTTCGCGCGCACCTCCGCACCTGAGTATTTTCCACACTGCGCCTCCTCTGAGCCTCGGTGTGCTGTTATTTTTCCTTCTAGTTGAAGAGTCTCTCCTCAGCCAGCCTTCCTGCGGTTCTGTGTATCCCCACAAATTTAAATCAGGAAAGTATTTGCGAACAGGGATCCATAGCTATTCTTATGATAACCATAGCTACACACATAGCTTGCATCTTGGCATCTCAGGGCACTAATAGAATGGCAGAGTATTAACTGTACATGTGAATAATGTGGGTAGGAAGAGACCATATCTAAGCCTTCTTTCCCAAAAGATAATGCTTTCTCCTTCCATTATATAAATTTATATAATTCTTTTTATTTCTTCTTCTTTTATTTCTTTCTTTCTTCTTCTTCTTTTATTTATACAACACACACACAAAGTTGGAAGGTTATTTGAACCTGGGAGGCTGGAAACGAACGGTAAAATGTAAGAAATCAAAATACACCCCTTGCAAACTCCAGCCAGCCAATCCTCTGGGGCGGGCACGAGGGCCCAGGGGTC